ATATATATATATATATTCGTGAATATGCATTAATTAGTGATAGAATATATGAGTTCACCAAACTATAGAGATACCAGGTCCTCTATAGGTTCCTACCGATAGCGCTAATAAAACAGTAAGTAAATGGAATAGAGAGTTTTTACGTGGAAAAATCCCTGCTCAAGGGGATAAAAACCTACTGTCTATACTGGTAGGATTTCAACTTCACTATGAACAACTTTAGATTACAACCTATGTAGTCCAGGAATTAAACTCTTAATCCCTCACTAACTTGTAATATACCTATTACAAGCCACTTTGCGATACACCTATTACAAAGACTTCAACTCATGACTAACTCTAGTCACGACACAAACGCTGAAGGTTTATGGTTTACAAGGGGTTCCTAAGTGACGCTTCTAAATAAGCAAAATAGGAATTACAATGAAGAACAATTACAAAGTTACAACTCAACTAAGGACATACAAGATACTTGCTATAGGAACTGGTCCGTAGTAGTGTTGTTCTTTGTTCTTGATGCACTTGAGAATTGAATGCTTGGCAGGCAAAACGGTTGGAGTGCTTGAATAAATTCTCAAGTGTTCAAGTGATGTTTTGTTGTAATGCTCTTTGTTATTACAACATAGATGACATCACTTAAATGATGTAATCACTTGGTTGGTCAAAGGGGAGTGACTGCAGTACTGTGCAACACTGTTTGCGTGTACAGTGCAGGCAGTCACTTTCCAGCTGTAGATAGTTGACTTTGTACGGTTGTTAGGAAAACACAAGGGATCAGATCCCCGTGTTAACTCTTTATCTTCTAAAGTCATAACAACTCATATTAGCTGGAGTCCGTTGATTTAAGTTGTGTACCAAGTGTGTCAGGTCCCTTATCTGGTTCTTTGAGAATAAGTTTGTTAGATTATCAAAACATGAAGCTAAGGTACTGTAAACCCATCAATTTCTCCCTTTTTGATGATGCAAACTTAGAATTGATAACACATGTTTAGGGCAAAATAAACCAGATGAAATAACAGGAACTTCACAAGTTCCCCCTGACTTTATGCTTCCCCCTTAATTAGAACCTTGTTTCAATTATACTTCCCTTTTTGGCATCATTAAAAATACACAAGCAAGCAATCAACATAAAGAAGTATAGCCTAGCTAACTCATGCCACATATATGCACACAACATGATAGAAAAGAAAAACAGAGAAACATAAGCATTAAACGGCAAAAGAGGATAGTTTTTATAAAACATAAGCCTTTGCCATTCAAGCAAAGGCAAAATTTGGACTGTTATCATCAGGAGCAGTACAAGGAAATTCCATCCACACCAAAAAAAAAAAAACTGCCATAAACAAAAAGAGATAATCCAGAAACTGGTCACTGAAGGGTTTGCCTAGGGGACACTAGGAGGAGAGGGCTTAGAGGCTGCAACAAGGGTGTTGAGAACGAGATCAATTCGGGCATTTGCCGACATTTGCTCTGCAAGCAGTTTCTCTTTCAGGTTCTCCAGTTGTTGCCGAAGATCAGCATTTTCTTTGTTCAGATGAGCGATCTTCTCATTTGACCCTGGTGCCCCATGGGCCTGCTGACTATCCAAATTGGCATTCCTTGCCTTCAACTTTCGAATCTCCTCAGTAGCACTATTTTGAGAATTGATAAGCTGAGAGATTGTTGAAGTGCTGCCTACCCCTCCACCTTTTTCAACACATTCGCATTCCTCCAAAGTAGTTTGAGAAAAGGTCTGCTTCTTGGTCCCTATCTTCGGCTGTCCCAAGGGCACATCAAAGAACTTGAAGACATGCGTGAGAAGAAATCCATAAGGAAGACCATGGTTCCCATCTTTGAAAGTAGCTATCTTTTGCATGTGCTCAATCATGATGGCTGGCAAGTTTACATCACAGAACCCATCCAGTGCTTCCATCAAGTACAAATCAGACTTGGAAGTGATGGACGTTCTCTCAGACAGGGTAGAAGAACCTTGTTGACCAACTCATACAACAGCTGATAAACGGGAAGCAGAGCTTTCTTGTATATCCGTTCCCCCCGCTGGACTGCACCTTCCTTCACAATAGCATTCCTGAAATTTGACCTACACACACTCTTGACAGAAGACATACCATCTGCAGGGATCTTAAGTATGTCCCTAAGAAGAGCAGCATCTAGAACAATATCAACACCATTGACCAGAGCACAGATATGATCAATTTCAACAGGAAAAAGGTCTTAACTAGGGTGGTAAACAGTCAGGTCGGATTGGATAACGACTTGTAACACACCATTTACAAATATGTTATGTTGCAATGTATTTTTTTTTCACAGCAAGTTTGATGTCTTTTATTCATATGTCCAGAAAGTGTAAAAATCAAAAGAAAGAAAGGAAAAATGGGGTAGCTAGCAATTATCTGTTCATCTTACTTTTGAAGCAATGCAAGATATCTGACCTTTCCATTTTCTTATTTTAATATCATGCACTTTCAATAAAAGATAGTATCAAATAAATTATAGGCATCAGCTAGAGTTGGGTAAATTGCAAGTTATAAGTTAGTATAACTTAAAAAATTTCAGAAGATTTGGGGGGGTATGATCCTAAGTTAATTTGCACTTTGCCACCATTTGAAGCTTAAGAGCCAAAAAGTCATTCGTAGTATGCAATCTAAGAATCTAACAAATATTAGGGGCATTCATAGCAAAAAGGAAAATTTATACATCTTCTGTTTCACGTCTACAAATCTGCATTTGCTTGTTTTTTAAATTGTAGACCAATGTCATTGGAAACCAAATTCAAAAGAAAGGTCAAATACACTTTTCCTCCCTTCACTTTTCACTTGATACAAAAAGACCCTCACATTTCAATATACGGTACTTCTGACCCCTTTAAAATCCAAGTTGGAGTAAAATCGGCAAAATTTTCAGAATGGATTCAAAAATTTTCTTCTTGAAGGTGCAATTTGTCCACCCTGAACCAACTTACAAAATTACTCAACACGTAGATGAGGAAAAGAGAGGGGTACATAGGGTAGAGTTGCTAGAAAAAAGTGGTAGATGTAGTATGTGAACGGTGGGTGCGACCAAACTCGCAGCTTCGACTTGAACTATATATAGTTGTAAAATTTATATACATATTCATACATGGGCATACACATACCATATGAAAGTCTACTTAGTTAGTTATACATTTATTTTGGGTAGGACTCATGAAGGAAAGTGATTCATGTTGTACACATTGATTAGTTTGGACTTTTGCTCGAGTACCAGAGTATTTCATCTAAATAGTTGGTGGAAGTGATGAGTAAATAAAGATTTTATAGATACATTAATATGTTATTTCCTATCTAACATTCTTATTTTTGCATGCAAATGACATTGTTAACTTTCATCATACTAACAATGATCAACTAGAATTTTGCATAACTTGATCCAGAAATGGAGTACAACAAAAGTTCTCTTCTAATTCAACATTTCACCATCCCATCTTTCTCCAAGGAAGAGAAAAAAAAGAATGAGTTCAACACTAACAGCTCCAATTCAAAACTCATGTAGCCCATTTCTCAAGGTGGTCTCACTCATTCAGGCTAGCCATTTACTGAATGACAAAAACAACCTTGAGAATTGAGCATAAAGGGCAACCCTGTGTACTAAGCTCCCTGTGTACGCAGCCTTACCCTGCATTTCTGCAAGATGTTGTTTCCACGGCTCAAACCTGTGATCTCCTCGTCACATGGCAATAACTTTACTAGTTACACCAAGGCTCCCCTTCAAGAGAATTGAGCATATGCTTCTATATTTCCCCTAACTCTCCTGTTAACTATGTTATGTTATTACCATTCTACTGCCCTGAACCTAAAGATTTGCTAGCTGAAAATGATATCAAGCAAAAGCTCATTCATCAACGATGCAAACACTTCAACTTCCAACTCCAAAATCACTTCTTGCTTCTCTAAGTTTGTGCTCTTCCACTCGCCTCGGCTTTCAATGTCCCGAATGTAAGCCATCCTGTTTTCTTGCACCTTCCAATCTAACAATACCTCAATAGGTTTCCCATTTATCCAATCTTTTGCTATTTGCAACAGCTTGTTATTGAATGCATCACCTCTTGTTAGCTCTTCTGAATGTTCACAGGCATTGAGAATCCTCTCCTTAAAGAAATCCAATAGTAATTTCTCTGCCTTTAGTTTCATGTTATAAGATGGCAATGAGGCTTTCAATTCTTGAACCAATTCTAATGCTTTGCTTTCAACTGTCTGTTTGTCCTCTTCTTGTTCCTCAACTTCAGTTTCTGAGGTATTTGTGAGTGGGGATTCACTCTCTGATTCTGAGGATACAATTCGTTTCTCTAAGTTTAGTGGTTCTAGTTGAGTGAGACACTCAAACCTTTGGATCTTTTTCATGAGTTTTTTGGTAGTTCCTGTTACAAATATATACTTAAGATTTCTGTTAAAAGGGGATAAATTTTGCATTTTTCTATAATACAAAATGATTAGGGATTTACCTTCCACACGAGCTAATCTATGCTGGAAAGGTGAAGAGACCTCGTCTTCATCACCAAATGGACAATCCAGTATAGACACTGGACTACACTGTTCTTTTTCTTCATTTGGCCAATGTTTCTGTACATAACAAAGAAAATTAATAAATCTTTGAGTATTATTCGAAGATTAAACGTGTACAATATCAAATATTAAACGCTAAAAATATTACCCTCTCTCCCCTTATTTATGTGACACTTTTCGTTTTTCAAGATTTAAATTTCTTAATTTTGACATGCATTTTGACCTAGATATTTTTTGTTTTTTGAAATAAAATTTACATATTTAAAAACTATGTAAAAAATACTACAAGTCACAATAATTAATAATTTAAAATATTTAATAATCTTATAAAAGAATAACAGTCAAAGAATAATTTGTTTGACTCTTAAAATCTGAATACCTTCACATAAATTGGGTGGGAGAAAGTACTATAACTACATTTTTCAAATTTTAAAACAAAGGAAGATAAAAGAAAAGTACTGATCAAACAAGTAGGGGGCTACAGATCCAGCATATCAGTTATTATTGATTTTGTTGAGTTGTTCTCCAGGCAAGATTAACCATTATGGCCCCTACCCTTAGATATAGTGTCAATAAAGTCACATAAATGTTAGTGTCAATATACTTTAGACGCTTGAATTTATTTGATAGTTCCACTTCAATGGGATTGTCTGGCATCAGTGATCGTACGTGACAATAGGGAAAGCTCACTTTCTTAAAAATTTTCCATCTTCACACCAGAAGGAAAAAAGGGCAGCGTAAACTAAGCTTCCGCTATGTGCGGGGTTCGGAGAAGAATCGGACCTCAAGGGTCTATTGAACGCAGCCTCTGTATTTTTGCAAGAGGCTATTTCTACGGCTCGAACACGTGACCTTCTGATTACATGAAAATAACTTTACCAGTTACGCCCCCGTCTTCACATTAGAAGATTAAAAAAAGTATAGAAGAAAGGGGAACTAATCGAAAGTAAAAGCAAATTCTTTTTTCCCTCTCTTTTCAAAATATAATTAATTTTAGTAGTACTTTAAGATAGAATAAAATTTTGGTGTCGAGATTTAAAAGTTCCCAATCTCCTAGAGTAATTTCTAGAGAAGGGTGGAATAAATAGTACACATAGGAAAGATGTGGTCAAGTTTTGTTTTTAGGGTCAACCATTCTCTAGGGATGTTTCTACCGTAAGAAAATGCACACAAACTCCTAAGACAATTTCAATATCTTCATAAGTCAACTTCACTACTAGACAAAGTATGTGACTTCTGTCTACCCATATTTATAAATAAAAGAAAAGGGACTTTCAGATCCCTAACTAAAACGTTATATTTTATTTTGAGTCTCCAACTAATATGCTATCGTTCATAGAAGTTCTTATTATAAGGAAAAACACATAACCAATATTTGAGCTACGTAGCGTAAAGATAAATGATGAAATGGAAATATTAATGTTCCCACATGCTAATAAATATTAATGTTTGTAGCAGTTATACGTACAAACAACCAAACTATCATCTTTTTCTCTTTCCTTTTACGCAAAAGGAAATGCAAGTTATTTAAAACATACCCTACACACGACCGACACAAGTTCAGTGTGATAGAAATTATATCTTCTCATAATTTTAGCTTGCTAAAAATAAAAACAATAAAGGAACCTACAATATTATTATTCGCAATAATTAAAGAAATTTATATACACAAACAATCTAAGTAATTTTTTGAAGAGTTAATATAGATTTAATTAAATCACTAGAACTCATACTACGTAGTACGCACTCCGCCATGCGAAAACTTAGCTTCCGTTTGGACATAGATTTTTTTTATATTTTTTTTCGAAAACGTTTGTTCATAAAATTTTATCAGTTTTTGAAGAAAAAAAAATTAGAAGAAAATTTTTCCAGTTTAAATTATTTTTAGGTGAAAATTCACAAAACTTCAACTCTTTTTTCAAGTAAAATGCTTTGCCAAACACAACTTTAACTTCTAAATATCATTTCTCAACAATATTTTAATTTTTTTCCCCAAGTTTCAATCAAATTTATGTTCAAACATCGACTTAAAAACTAATTTTCAATAAGGGGAGTTTGCATATGAATCACTAGATATGTATACTGGAAAGGATAATGAAATTATTTAATGCTATAATATATAACCGAACTAACTACTCCTACACAGTCCTACTAATCAGAGAATAAGAAAATGACACTTCATACCTGGTTTAATGCAATCAAACAAATTGCTATCTACACTATTATGTCAAACAGTCAAAGAGGTGGGTCAGGGTATTTTCGGAAATAAAAATGTAGTAATCTGCTGTCTCGACTTCCACAAAGTTAATGCTAGTCTACACAGAGAGCCGTAGATCCCGCAAGGCGACAACAACGTAGCGGGATCTGCGCCGTTGATCAACCGACTGTAACTTTGTTGTCAGTGTCGAGAAGCATGCAATTCAACCCTGAAATACCCCGCATGTGTACTCTCCAGGGTTACCCCCAGTAGTTCAACCTGTTTTTGCTCCTATCATATCGCTGTGAAAATTCATTTCTCTAGAAAATTCTCCTTTTTATAAATGTAATTCAAATTTCTTACACCCCAATTTTTTTACTATATTTCAAAAATTTGAATTCACCACGCTTTAATTATACCTTGAGAATACAACTTTATTTTAACTTTTCTAAACTCAACAAACTATTACACCCCCTCATAATTACTACTATTGTCTAATATTTTAATTACTCATCATGTTCAAAATTTTAAAACAATGTTCTTACCGCTACTATGTAAATTCAAACTTGAACCTAGCAAACTTACTATGTAAAAGAAAATTTTCTTCTGCTAAAACTGTATGGGATTTATTCGCAATAGCTTCTTCTTCTCGTGTTTTACCGTTCCTCCCTGAATATCATTTTTTACTGTTTTGTAAATTTTTTGAATAGAAAGTCAAAATGTCACAATTTAAATTTCCGTATCAAAAAATTGAATCTTACTAATTTAGTTCCGTTTAACCTTTTCTTGTTCTGTTGATTACGTAAAAAATAAACTTAAAATTGATAATGCAAGTAATATATGATACTCCTTGAAATAAAAGAAAGAAAACATGAAATTAGAGAAAAATAAGACAAAAATGAAAAAGAAATGTTAGGAAAAAAAATAAAGCTAACCTTTTTGTTAGGAGAGTTGGTAGTGCTACCGTGACTGCTTACAGTTGAGTCTGGTGAATCATCACCGGTAGTTGCGCCAACTTTTTTGCTGTTGATCACCTTCTCTGTTCCTAAGCTCTTCGAAGCTGCGACGTCGTTTTCAGTCTCCGTCGAATTAACCTCCGAATTACCACTTGAAGTTTGCAGTGAATTATTATCACTTGAAGCAGTGAAATCACTATCTGACCAGCTGTTACTGTTACTTTTACTCTTACTCTGACTCTCACTCACACTCACGCTCATTGAGCTATTTGAATCGCCGGCGGTTATGGCAGTTATAACCGGAGAAAAAACTGGCGGTTTTAGTTCTTCCTTATCCAACCGGTTGAAAGACGTCCACCAGTGGATCTCCTTGTGATCGCCTCTCTTCCAGAAGCTTCTTTTCAGCTTCCGAGATAAACTCCTCGGAAAAATTGTCTTCATCATCGGCTTCTTCTTCTTCTTCGACGGCGAAGAAGACAGTGGAGACCTCGCTCCGGCGAACGGGAGGTGTTTCACGGCGTTGATCACCGCTACAGACGCTTTCTGAAATGCAGAAACTGTCGCCGAAGGCGGCGCTGGTTTTGGCCGGGTTTTGAGTAACGATTTAGCATTTTTCATGTACGGCGGCGGCGGTGCTGGTTGATACTTGTTCTTCAAGTCGATTTCGAGAAGAAATCGAACTGTAGTGCAACATTGCCGGCGAGGATATGATCGGAAACCGCTCGATGAGCATGAACTCAAATCATCTAACAGGTAATCTTTCAGCATCAATTGTTTCGGTAATGGTTTCATCAATTTCGAATCCATAATCAAACAGTAGTTAAAAAAAAACACTAGAACTTTTTTTAAACTTTAACGAACAACTTGAAGAGCTGAAATTTGAATTAGAATCAGAGACAAAAGTGCTAATGAAGTAATATCAGAATAAGAAAGAGAGCATTGAATTAGAACGGACAGAATGCAAGTTTAGTCAGAGACAGAGAAAGCTCATTCAGAAAGCTGTAGCATTTTGCAGCTTTTACTGATTGATAACAGTGTAAATATTGAATGAAAAATTTAAGACACTAAAAGAGGGGGCCAATGGGTGGTGAAATAGAGAGGCAGCTTCTTAAAGCTAAAGTTGAAGATCTCAAGAAAATGATATAAAACAATTGGCTATCACTGGCAAATAAGGGATTTTTAGCAGTAAGAAAGAACAAGAAATGGAAGTAGAAGTAGAAGAAGAAGCATGGATGCTTCTTGTAGAGGTTTTTTGAATCTCAAGTTTGATTAAATTAATGGGTTTAAAGATTTGTATTTGAGTTTGAACTTAGTATTTAATTAATGGGAGTTTAATTAATTGAATTAGCTGGTTTTGAGATTTGATTACAAATCTCGGCCTGTTAGACTTGGGACTGACCGCTGGTTGACCTTGTTAGATTAGAATATTTCAATATTGTGAGGATTTCAATCACGCGCTCTCGGTTGTCCAGCGCGTGCAGCGACTATTATGCATGGCATTAAATGTCTACTGATGAAAATGCTGGATTTGTTTGCACTATTTTGCGTTTTGAGAACATGGAGGAAATTTGCACTAATTGATGGGAAAAAGAAGTTGATAGTAGTACATATTTTGGTCTGAGTTTCAGTATAACGCTTAGGCCTTAAAATGAGAAAAAATTTATGCGATCAAAACTTTTAAAAATAATTGATACCTAAGTATAATTTGGTGAAAAGAAAAGGTTGGAAATATGTTGAAACCAATAAAATATGCTATAAAGAATTATAACGGTGAAATGTTGATTACGCGTTATTCGTTTATTTCATGGGATATTTATTACCTTTAAATAGCACATGGACGAGTAATTTCACTCACTAAAGCTTAAATAATCGAGGAAAAATCATCTAGTGTCTTTTGTGATACAGCATAGGGAGAATCACACACCCCAAAAGCTAGATCATCTAGCGTCTTTTGTGATACAACCTAGGGAGAACCACACCCCAAAAGCTAACTATTGAGGCAGGAGAGCACAAGGCTATATAAATCTCACATCAGCACTTTGTAGTACCGACGTGGGACTCAAGTCTCATTCCTTGCAATAAACCATGATAAACCACCACGCTCCGCATCCCTCGTCCTTAACGACTGTGCGCTACACATTTCTAGCCTCGGACAAATACTGCAATAATGGCGTCACCATTCAAGGCACATACAGTGGACACAGAGGGTATGGGTGGCTCTGATACCATTGCTACCACCTAGTGAGTACAAGACCTCAAAAACTAGATATTGAGGAAATAGAGCCCAAGACTATGTAAATTCCACATCAGCACTTTGTAGTACTGATGTGGGACTCAAGTCTCATTCCTTGCAATAGACCATAACATTTCGTCTCCACTAACATTTCAATAGCACAAAGGTAATACCAAGAAGCCGAGTATAAATTATTTTTTTTCTTCTTCAGATCTTGATAGTTAATTACTTAATGATTTTGACAATGTTCAAATTTGCAAGGTGAATACAAATTAAAAAGGATTCTTCACTGATTTCAAGTTTGACACCAATTATGGTAGATTACTAGAATTAGAATGGCATAGACATTCCCATTGACAAATTTAGTTGGTTCCATTACCTATATCAGAAAAAGAAAATTTAAAAAACAAAAGAAATGGAGTAATAACTTTAATAAATGCCTAGCTATATTTGCAAATATGATAGTTCACCTTTCTGATTACATATTCCATGGGACTTATGCTTTGTTAACTAAACCTGAAGTTTTATTCCACCCAATAAGTTTGTGAAAGTTCTCGACATTGGAGTAAATTGATTATTAATGCTGTAAAAAAGAGTCCCGACAATTTAATTCAAAAATCATAAGAGGATGAGTGGTAGGTAGAACCAGACGATTGTTTATATATTTTGGGAATTCCTTATATGCATGACATGAGATATTCTGATCTCCAATAAAATATTGTAACTTTCTGTGAGATTTTACGAAATTATTGTGTTAATAAAAGAAATTGTTACTTTATATTAACAATTCTAACGAAGCAATTTCTTAGTGGTGGGAGGAGAACTTTTAGCCAGTTGACTAGCTATCACAAAGACGAACAAGAACAGCGTCTCTAAGAGCATAGCATATAAGGGTTTGTATGTGTGAGAGAAAAACAGTGGTCTTTTTAGTATTCTTTTTGTTCTGTTATAGGAGATGAAACGTGTTGACACGAAAGGTGATATATGCATGTGTTTTATGGTGATCAAGATGGGTAAGGTTAGAACTAATTGTTATCTCGAGGGAGAGGCAAACCCAAAAATAAAGAAGATAAAGAATACCTAATTTTAACGTGGAAAATCCTTCAAATCGAAAGTAAAAATCACCGGATCACAAAGATCCAAAAAGCTCCACTATAACAATAAGAGGGTTACAAAATTTCTCCAAATTGGCGACACAACAAGTGCCAAACACGGAGCAACAATAGCAACAGCAAATCAATTGAAGAAAGAGGAGAATCCACAAAAACGAAGCTGCTGTTCGAGGCTCAAAATCAGATGCTACGGGCCTCCAAATTTGATCTCCACCGTTCAAATAAAACACCAAGATGTTACGAACAGTCAGTTAAAATTTCATCCCGATCCAACGGTTGAAGAATCGGAAAACTTGATTTGAAGTTGGGTGGTCGGAATAAAAAATCTGCAGCAAAACAAATACTTTTCTTTTCTCTTCTCTCTTGATGAAAGCTCTCTCAAAAACCACTCTTATGTGCTTAAGTCTTTCAAAGACTTGTATCAATGATCATGGAATGATTCTCCAAAGTTGTCCTATTTATAGATCATGAGTGGTGCTTTCCCTTAAAGCCAAAACCAACTCTAAATAGGAACAAAAACCGAATCCAATTCCGAATAGAATGAAAACCAAAAGCGAATAAGATTAGGACATTGGGCCTTTGGCTGGACAACATGGGCATGTGCCCAACAAACACTCCCTCCAGCCAAGGTGCCAAATATGTCTTCAAGTAGAGGAACTATTGACAGGCTTCATGCCTGCCAATTTTCTGCAAAATTCATGTTTATCTGCAACCACCGCCTTTGTCAGCATATCGGAAGGATTTTCAATGTAGTGTATCTTCTCAACCTCAAATAATCTCTCTTCCACGGTCATTCTTATCCAATGGTACTTTCTATTTATATATTTGGTCTTAGAATGAAAAGTGGAGTGCTTGGTGAGACAGATAGCACTCTGATTATCACAAAATAAGATGTACCTTGGCTGATCAAAGCCAAGATCATTAATAAACTCCTTCATCCATAATAGTTCTTTGGCACCTTCTGTGACGGCAATATATTCGGCTTCTGTGGTGGATAGAGCTATGCACTTCTGTAGTCTAGATTGCCAAGAAACAGCTCCCTCTGCAAAAGTGATCAAATAACCAGAAGTAGATCTTGAATTATCAAGATTGCCTCATAAATCAGAGTCTGTATAACAAACAAGTTCAGGCTTGCCATTGCCAAAGCACAACTTCAAATCTGCAGTACCTTTAAAATACCTTAATATCCATTTTACTGCATCCCAATGTTTTTTTCCAGGATTAGAAAGGAATCTACTAACAGTACCAACGACATGCGCAATATTTGATCTAGTGCAAACCATAGCATACAGCAAGCTACCAACGGCACAAGAGTAAGGAATACGAGACATATCCTTTTTCTCTTCATCAGTTGATGGACTCTGACTAATACTCAATTTGAAGTGTTTAGCTAGAGGAGTGCTAACCACTTTTGCATCTTTCATATTGAACCTCTTGAGTACCTTCTCAATGTATTGCTTTTAGGACAAAAATAACCCCTTTCTATCTTTTTTTGTCGGTAGATTTGAATTCCCAAGATTTTCTTTGCTGGCCCCAAGTCCTTCATCGCTAACGATTTGCTCAACTGCTTCTTAAGGACTGCAATTATGGATTTATTCTTGCCAGCAATAAGCATGTCATCCACATAAAGCAATAAAATAATAAAATCATCATCAGAGAACTTTTGGAAGAATACACAGTGGTCTGAAGAAGTTTTCTTGTACCCTTGTTCTTCTATGACATATTCAAACTTCAAATACCATTGCCTTGGAGCTTATTTCAATCCATACATACTCTTTTTCAATTTGCAGACATAATTTTCTTTTTCCTTAGTTACAAAACCGTCAGATTTCTCCATATAAATCTCCTCATCTAAATCACCATGAAGAAAAACAGTCTTGACATCCATCTGCTCAACCTCTAAATCTAGACTTACAGCTAAGTCTAGAACCACACGAATAGAAGACATCTTCACAACAGGGAAGAAAATTTCATAAAAGTCAACTCCCTTCTTCTGGCCAAAACCTTTAACAGCTAACCTCGCCTTGTATCTAGGCGCAGAGGTATAGTTATCTTGCTTTATTCTAAATATCTATTTGTTAGATAAAGCTCTCTTACCTTTCAGCAATTTCACTAACTCATATGTGCTATTCTCATGGAGTGACTTCATCTCATTTTTCTTGGCTTCAGTCCACTAATCTTTATGAGTATCTTGCATGGCTTCATTATAATTCTCAGGTTCTCCCATGTCAGTCAAAAGTACATACTTATCAGGAGGATAGCGCATGGATTTTTGCTTCTCCCTTGTAGATCTTCTAAGAAAGGTTTCAGGAGCATTCGAAGTAGTTACCTGAGCAGGAATTGGTTGTTGATCAACCATAACTTCATCAACTGGAGTATCAATAACATCTACACCATGATGATCATTTTGATCTTGGTCACTATCTTCATCATTGTCTTGGGTTCCTTCATGTGCAATAGGTGCCTTTGCAATTGAAACTAGATCAATATCAACTAAGAGCTCATTGCTCTGAGAATCTATCTTCTCAGCTTCGTCAATATATAGTCTGATCTTCAAAGAATATTGCATCACGACTTCTAATAAGTTTATTGTAACTGGATCATAAAAACGATACCCAAATTCATCTTGACCATAACCGATAAAGATGCACTACTTAGTTTTGACTTCCAGTTTCGATCTCTCATCTTTAGGAACATGTACACAACCTTTACACCCAAAAACTCTCAGGTGATCATAAGATATATTTTTGGCAAACCAAACTCTATTTGGGACATCACCATCCAAAGCAACAGCAGGAGACAAATTGATAACATAGGCAACAGCGTTAAGTGCTTCCGCCCAAAATGTATTTGGAAGTTTAGCCTCTGAAAGCAGACATCTAACTCTTTCAACTAGAGTTCTATTCATCCTCTCTGCCAAACCCTTCAATTGAGGCGTCTTGGGCGGAGTTTTCTGATGACGAATTCCTTGTTCCTTGCAATAGTTATCAAAGGGACCACAATATTCACTAGTATTGTCAGTACGAATGCATTTTAATTTCTTCCCCGTCTGTCTCTCAACTAAGGCCTGAAATTCCTTAAACACGCCAAGTGCTTGATCTTTAGATTTCAAAAGATACACCCAGAGCTGACGAGAATGATTATCAATGAAGGTCACAAAGTAAAGTGCACCACCTTTTGACTTTACTTTAAAAGGACCGCACAAATCAGAGTGTACTAGCTCCAATAAATCGGGCTTTCTTGAGGGAGGATAGCTATGAAAGGAAACCCTTTTCTGTTTGCCAGCTAAACAATGCATACACCTTTTCATCTTTGCTTGTTTTACTCCAGAAAGCAAACTTTTCTTAGCCAACCACGTAATCCCCCTCTCGCTCATATGACTCAATCTTCTGTTTCACAATTCTGAAAAAGTATCACTTTCCACCGGATTTATTGAGTTATTAAGAATAGAGCCTTGTGTCACATATAAATGATTAGACTTGAGCCCTTAGTGAGCTTCCATTGGCCATTAAAGAGGGCATTATGGTAACGTTCATCGTCTAATCTTCCTGCGAAGATCAAATTAAAAGGAAAGTCTGGGGCATGCTTGACATCTTGAAGAACTAACGTTGAACCATTATTAGTTTTCAAAAAAACTGTGCTTACACGAAACACCTTAACTTCACTGGCATTGCCCATCTTTAACACTCTAGAATCAACAAGAGCATAAGATGAGAAAAAGTCTTTTCTTGGTGTGACATGTGAGGTAGCTCCAGAATCTACTATCCAGCTCGTCTCATGGGATACCAAATTGATGACGTTTTCATCATAAGCAAAAAGAAGGCCATCTCGAACAATAGCAGCAACATTGTTCTCGTTATTTTCAGCTTTCTTTCCTTCTCTAGTGTCTTGATTCAACTTGCGGCAAAACCTTTTGATGTGTCCTTTCTTACCACAGTGGTTGCATGTAATATTATAGTATTTGGACCTTGACTTACTTCTACTTTTACCTCTATTCCTTGAGCCTCTTGTTCTATCTCTCCCCCGGTGTTCTGTAACCAAGATATCTGCTTGTGAGGACGAACCCTGAGATTTTCTCCTTACTTCCTCGTTCAACACACCACTCTTGGCATATTCCATGGTCACCTTACCTCCAGGAGCTGAATTTGTCAAAGAAACATGAAGAGTTTCCCAAGAGTCTGATAGAGTATTAAGAAGCCAAAGTCCTTGTATCTCTCATCAAAATTAACTCACATTCCAGACAGTTGATCAAGGGCGCCCTAAAAATCATTTATGTGATCAAGGATAGGGCTGCCTTCCTTGTATTTAAAGGTCATCAATTGCTTTAGCAGGAACAACTTGTTGTTCCCACTTAAAAAAGCATAAAGAGCCTCTAGCTTTTCCCACAATGATCTCGCATGTGTCTCGTTCACAATATGGTTGCGAACATTATCTTCAACCCATTGGCGTATATGTTCACATACTTGTTGGTGCTCAAAATCCCAATCTTCATCATATACACTCTCGGGTTTAAGAGCTGAAAAAATGGGTAGATGCATCTTCTTTACGAACAACAAGTCTTTCATCTTGCTTCTCCAAATATTATAATTGCTCCCATTTAAACATACCATCTTGCTCATATTCGCCTCTATTCCGTAACAACCCGGATAAATAACCAAGGCTCTGATACCATTGTTATGTCGAGGAAGAGGCAAACCCAAAAATAAAGAAGATAAAGAACACCAAATTTTTACGTGGAAAACCCTTCAAATCGAAGGTAAAAAACTACGGGATCACAAAGATCCAAAAAGCTCCACTATAACAATAAGAGGGTTACAAAAGTTCTCCAAATTGGCTACACAACAAGTGCCAAACACGGAGCAACAATAGCAACAAGAGCAACAACAAATCAATTGAAGAAAGAGGAGAATCCACAAAAATGAAGCTGCTATTCGAGGCTCGAAATCAGATGCTAAGGGCCTACAAATCCGATCTCCGCGGTTCAAATCAAACACCAAGATGTTACGAACACTCAGTTAAAATTTCAGCCCGATCCAACGGTTGACGAATAGAAAAACTTGATTTGAAGTTGGCTGGTCGGAATAAAAAATCTGCAGCAAACAAATACTTTTCTTCTCTCTTCTCTCTTGATGAAAGCTCTCTCAAAAACCACTATTATGTGCTTAAGTCTTTCAAAGACTTGTATCAATGAGCATGGAATGATTCTCCAAAGTTGTCCTATTTATAGATCATGAGTGGTGCTTTCCCTTAAGCCAAAACCAACTCTAAATAGGAACAAAAATCGAATCCAATTCCGAATAGGAAAGGAAACCAAAAGAGAATAGGATTAGGCCATTGGGCCTTTGGCTGGACAACATGGGCATGTGCCCAACACTAATATATACGGTAAATTATTTTTATAACAGTCTCAGTTGTTTTGTATTTTTCCAAATGTTATAACGAAGTGTTGTATAAAAATTGATTCCATATAAAGTTCGACTTATAAATGACTGTTATATAGCAATATTATAATTATAAAGAGGTGTGATTGTACTTTATCTATCCATATTTTACAACATTACTAATTGCAAAGTCAAAATTTATACTTTAAATATATTTTATGTGTATGTAATTTACTTTTAAAGATCAAAAAATTGATTTTAGATTTTAGATTTTAGATTTTACGTTTGGCACTATAAATTCATAACATTATCTTTTCATAGAGGGTAAGTTTTTTTAATTGGAAGAGTCATATAAAAATAGGAGCCTCACCTCTGGCTCTGACTCTGTTTACTGATTAGTTGACACTTGCATGGGAGGGAGTTCAAGGTCATACGTGGTGTCTTTCAATAATGATGATGTTTGAATTTGAAGTTTCTAAATAGGATTGTTCTAATTTCTCCAATATATATGGTTGCATCCTTGCGCTAAACGTGCCATATGGCCCTAATTCCCAAGTTTGTGACATCTGTTGGCGCATGCAGCTAGGCTTCCTACTCTATTTGTAGTTTCCCACCCTTTTGTCCTCATTTAATTAGCCAATCTCTAACATTTCCATGTCGTGCTTTTTCTGTTTTTAGTTTAATCTAGTAATATTTAAAAGAGAATTGGTTCGATTAGTTCAAGTACAAAGATATACTGCATTTGTTATTTCTTCAATTTCAATCTATATGACGATTTTAGAGTACGAGGCTCACGTTGTACTGATAACTCAGTCATAGATAAAGTAAACCTAGGAAAATCTATAATCGTCCACTAATATATATATATATATATATATATATATTTTGTATTTTTGACTGGCAACTATAATTTTTTTGCCGATTGGTCAAATGTTTAGAAGCTCAATACCTATCTCTCAGATCTCCTAATAGTGGATTTAGAGGGAGAAATTCAAAAAATAGCCAGATTTACAAGTGATTATTCAAAAATAGCCACATTTTTAAAAGTAATTGAAATTTAGTCACTTTTCATGTTAATATAAATTTGAACGAAAAAACTGTTCAAAATCCGGAAAACTACTCCAGTATAATATACTGGAGTTCCAGTATAATATACCGGTCCAGCATATATACTGGAACTTTCCGCGTGTTGGAATTCCAGCATAATATGCTAGAAGTTCATGCACAGGTGCACCGATCTCCAGTACATTATGCTGGAACTTTCCGTATTGTAGCAAAATAGTGGCTATTTTTCAATGACTTTGCAAATGCTGGCTATTTTTGAATGATCAATTTGAAAGCGTGCCATTTTTACGGATTTAGATTTCAGAATTTAAGCTTATTATTAGGTTTTTTATAACTTATTCACAAAAAGTCCAATAAAGCGGATCATCACCGATAACAATTCATCTAATTGGACTTTTGAGCAGATAGCATATCTGTATAACAGCCCAATAGATTTGAATCACCGAAGTAACAAGGAAGTTCGAAATGACCCGAAGGTGACATTTGGGCTGTCTGGGTTGGATTTGAAAGGGCTAAGTGCACCGGTATCCACTTTTAAGGCAGCTGTTTAAAATATGAATTTTTACCTCCTATAGCAAATGTTGATACCTTATTAATTTTGAATAAATACCCTTTTAAAAAATTATATTCTATAGATACCTTTTGATTTTTATAGGCAAATATCTATTTATGGTTACATCCTACTCTTAAACCATAAAATACTCTTTGTATTATTTTTCTCTCTCATTCTTTGAGATTTTTCTCCACCCCCCTCTCTCTCTCTCTCAACGCCAGTATTTCTCCATGGTTATTTCCTCTATCTCATCAAATGTGTATGCATTAAAGGAAAAAAACAGATACTGATTCTGATCGGAAAACGAAGTTGGATTTGGTTCAAAATCAAATCCTTTTCAACAAATCTGCTCAAGTTCTTTGCATAGGGCTTCTGAAATTCCCCTGGCAGTGCTTCCAACCATGTCTCCTCAACCAACAATTCCTCTAACTTCACATATCCTATGCCATCACCATTTGCATTTAACATGGAGATTTTATCAGAGCATAGTTTGAGGTTCATTTTGGCCTTTGCAAGCGATTTATTGAACTCCATTCTCGACTTTTGATCGGACGTGAGCATTTTATCTTTGGGGTCTTTGTTGCCGCCGTCTTCACCCGACAATGAAGATGACAAGGCGCTGGAAATGAAGTTGTCAGCGGAAAATGGCGAGGAGACCCGTTTTAGCTGCTTTGCTGCAGGTTGCTTGAATAGATCCATTAGAGTTTTAGGGTTTTCCATTGTAATTCAATGTATCTCGTTGTATTTTATGTATTTTATTGTATTCACTGTCTTTTTTTCATTGTATTTTAATGTATCTCGCTGTATTATATGTATTTCATTATATTCACTGTCTCGCTATATATGCCACGAATGTATTTTTTTTAATTAATATAATTTATGTATTCAGATGTATTATATAATTTCTCTGAAGATTGCTATGTTTTGGGGTATTTTTCGGTTGAGAATCTTTTTTATAACTGAAAATATAAAATTTGTGTGTTATAATTGAGTTTGTTGAGTTATATTAGGAGTCTATTATGTTAATTGATTCACTTTCCGTTTTAAAAACAGTGTAATCCCCTATTTCACGCCGTGAATACAGTCGAATACAATAATCTGTCCAGCTGTAATCCCATGTTTCACTCCATGAATACAGTCGAATACACTCGAATACAACAACTGATTAGCTGGATTTCCCTAATTCACGCCTATTTTTGCTACTGTATTCATGAATACAATAGCTTAAATACATCAAATACATCTTATAACCACACAAAATGTATCTATAATCCGTAATATAGCAAATGGTATCTATAGATGGCTAATTACTATCAAAAGATAGTGCTTTATGAAAATTTCTCTTTAAAATATATTCACACTTTATAACGTATTTAAAGATTAGTTATTTCATCCAAACTCCTGGACTAAATATCCTGAATTTGGAATACAGGACTTAGGGTCCTAAATTTTTGAGGTGCTAATTTGAAATTCAGGAGATTCGAACTTCTGGCACAATTTTCGAACTTTTAGGACACGATGTCCTGAAGTTTGAATTTGAGGTTTAAACTTCAGGATGTCGTGTCCCGAAGTTTGAGCGAACTGGCTAATTTTTAAATACATTGTAAACTATGGATATATTTTAAACAACATGCTTAAAAATAACTACCGTCATTTCCAACGATTTGAAACTTGGATCTCGAGCCTAGCACAAGTTTATCACTCGCATCACTATTCACTAGTCAACAACTCAGACGTTATTAAAAGGGAAATTTACATAATATAGCCACTCCAAAATAATAGTCGAAAATATATATCTTTTTTATCAATTAACGTATAATATACCTATCTTATAAAAGATATATATTTCGACTATTATTTTGGGGTGGCTATATTATATTATATTTAGCTAGCGACTGTAATTATTTTTGACCGACTGGCCGATATGTTTTTTGGTTCTTTATGATTCTTCACTTTGTGTTAATTCTCCATTTGATGTTTCAAAATATTTTCATAACCGTTATTCAGAATATAGAATGGGGTAGGAAGAAGAGGGAGCGAAAATGGAGAGGATCAGAGCCTACTACATGGTATATAAATAGTAAATATAAAATTATACTTAAGTGATAACTTTTTTAAGAGAGTCAAATAAGTTTATAATGTAATTAAGTCATAGCCAAATGTAGTTGGACCTTAAAACCTTATATTATAGGGGGTTTTACCTAGCTATACTATATTAGAAACTTATTTACCACTTTTCTTTAGGTTCCTTAAAAATTACATTGTGTATTTATATTTACTATTTGTATACAAAATCATGATAAAAGAAAGATTCCTTAAATTTAGGGATTAAATTGTAACCCCCCAATTCCCTACATCTATCAGCTTAATTATCCTCTACAATCACGATTTTTTCCCTTCAATAAGTCTTAAATCGGATATTACCTACCAAAAGTGCATCCTATAGCTTTATACAAATAATCATAGTATCTCATAATTGCCCAACTTATTTATTGCTTCAACTTTCTAAGTCCGAGTCCTCTAAGGTAATTGCAAACAAAAGATTATTCCTTTTACCCTAGCATTTATTTTTTGTTGAAACTTGAAAGTGGTCCACTTGATTTATATTTTATACATTAACGAAAGTCTGACGGATCCTTCTTCTTATATAACTCGTTCAACTCTATCATTCTCTACATTCTTGATTTATAAGATTTTTTTTTTGTAGAAATCTTCCCAAATTGCTCTCTCCACTAAAATCTTACGGGTTTGAACTTCAACTTGCAATTGCTCTCTTTACTAATAGGTAAAAATTCTGAATTATATGACAATCGTATCAGATTTATTTTAGAAGTGTGTCGCAACTGTATCAAAATTGTATGTGACTTGCATATAATATATCAATACCTAAAATAATACTTGATACAATAATAACACAATTATAATATGAATATATTGGATTTTCAGTATAGAATTGCGATTGAAACGTGAAGAAGATTAAGATCATAACTGTATCACAATTATTTAAAAATATATCATAATTGTCGTAGGAATTGTATTACAATGTATGATAATTGTATATCATTGTATATTGTTATGAGCAGTTGTGAATTTGTGACCAATTATCACGACCCTATTCCCCGGACCCGGTCGTGATGGCGCCTCTCGTGAAGACAAGGCCAACCAATCAAACCCAATTTACCTTTTTAAGCAGTTAAACAACACAAAGCAGTCTAAAACATGATTTAATAATATAAGTAGCGGATTATATCAATAACGTGCGGAAGTACAACCCAACACAACCCAAACCGGGGTGTCACTAGTCATGAGCATCTACTAAGGTCTAGATACAACCGACAAGTCTGAAATGTACTAAGTACAGACTAATAGAATAAAGAGGGAGAAAAGCAGTGCTGCGAACGCTGGCAGCTACCTTGTTAAACTCCGATGACTCTGCCTCCGATCATCCAATACTTGCTACCGGGTTCAGAAAAATACCTGAATCTACACACAAGGTGCAGGGAGTAAAGTGAGTACTTCCAACTCAGTGAGTAATAATCATAAATAGAGACCGAGTGATAAGAAATCACGAAAAGTGCATCAACATGCTGTATAGAAGTAGTACAAAACCAGTAAGAAAGCAATGAAGATATGAAATCTCTTAAAGCATCTTACCTCAGTTTAAAACTTCTTCAAAAATGGCTTTTCAACAGTTAAGCAATTGAATGCAAAAAAACTAGAACAGATAAGCATAGAGAATCCGCCCCTCGGGCACAGTTACACAACTAAACAGGTAATTGACAGGTAATGAACAGATAAACACATAAAGGTTCGCCCCTCGGGCTATAACTCAACAACTCCGCCCCTCGGGCAATATTTAAGATCAATACCAGCCCCTCGGGCTATATCTCATATCACAATGGGTAGCCGCACTCACTGGGGGTGTGTAGACTCCTGGAGGGGCCCCTTACGGCCCAAGCGCAAAATCAAGCCATCTCGTGGCATCATAAACAGGCTCTCGGCCTCATATCAATATCAAGCCACCTCGTGGCGTATAATCTCAGGCCCTCGGCCTCATAATCAATATCAAGCCACCTCGTGACGTACAATCTCAGGCCCTCGGCCTCATAATCAAAATTAGTGTATCACCGCTGCGGCGTGCAGCCCGTCCCAAAAGATATCCTCACAACACAAGCCCTTGGCCTTACTCAGTCAAAATCACATAAGCCTCTCGGGCAACAGTAAAACGTGTTTCTCAGCCCAAGACATCATTTAAATATCATTTGAGTATTAAAACTGAGTGAACATGGCTGAGTTTTGAAAACAGTGGAAAATAACATGACTGAGTTCAAGTATAAAGTCAAACCAGTGAGGAAATATCAACAAAAAAAATCCCCGAAGGGTTCAAATAGTTGGCACGAAGCCCAAATATGGCATTCAGCCCAAATAATCATGATAGCAAATAGATTTCAGTCAAATACGCGGTAAAATCATCAATCGGGACTGACCAAGTCACAATCCCCAATAGTGCACGACCCCACGCTCGTCATCGAGCATGTGCCTCACCTCAATATAGCACTACGATGTGCAATCTGGGGTTTCAAACCCTCAGAACATCATTTACAATCATTACTCACCTCGATCCGGTCCAAACTCTAGCCCGCGATGACTTTGCCCGCATGAATCGACCTCCGAATGCTCCAAATCTAGCCACAATCAGTACATAACCATTAAAATATGCTAAGGGAACAAAGCCCACTCGAAAATATCCAATTTACATCAAAAATCCCGAAATTGCTCAAACCCGGCCCCCGGGCCCATGTCTCGGAACTCGATAAAATTAACATCAGTGGAATCCTCATCCTCTCACGAGTTCATACATATCAAGAACATCAAAATCGGACCTCAAATGGCCTCTCAAATCCCCACTCAATGGTCTCTTACATCTCAAGCCCTAATTACCCATTTTTGCTACTAATTTTCCATGGATTTCAAGCTTACAAATGTTAAAATTCATCATAGAAACAAGTTTAGGGTCCAAAAATCTTACCTCCATGAAATCCTCTTGAATTCCCTCTTCAATTAGCTCTCCCAAGCTTTCTCCCGGATGAAATATGGTGAGAACCCTCTCAAAATCGCGAAGGGTGCAATATATACTTTCTGCCTAGACATTTTCGCATCTGCGGCCCAAATTCCGCTTCTGCGGTACCGCATCTACGGTCAAGACCACTGCATCTGTGGTCTCACTTAAATTACCAAAACCGCACCTGCGACACATTTCCCGCATCCGCGACACCGCAAATGCGGTCACCCTTACCGCTTCTGCTGTCACTGCTCATCAGGCCTCCTTTCGCTTCTGCGGCCAATTCCTCTGCTTATGCGGCGCCGCACCTGCGGTCCCCAATCCGCAGGTGCGAAAATACCAGAAGCAGCAAATTCAGCAGCTGCAACAAAATCCAAACTTCTCCGTTAACCATCCGAAATCACCCCGAGGCCCCCGGGACCTCAACCAAAAGCACAAACATATCCTAATAACATATCCAAACTTGTCCCAATCTTCAAAACACCTCAAATAATATCAAATCAACCAAAACACATTGGATTCAAGCCAAACTTTCTAAAATCTTCCGAAATTTCGTTTTTGATCAAAAACCCGACCAAACCACGTCCGAATGACCTGAAATTTTGCACGCACATCCCAAATGACATAACGGAACTACTGCAACTTCCGGAATTCCATT